AATATTTCGAGACTGGTGATTCCAGAGATTTTAAAGATTCTACAGATTCTGAAGTTTCTAAATTTTCTTAAGATTCTTAATATTTCCAAAAGTGAGGATTCCAAAAAATTTGAAAACTTTTTGAAAATTCTGAAGTTAATTTAACAGTCTCAAGATTTCAAGATTCTAAAGGTTCCAGAGATTCCAGAAATTTTAAAAATTCGAAACATTCTGAAGATTTCAAAGACTGACATTTCTGAAAATTCTAAAGATTCAAAAGATTCTGAAAATTGTTACCTATTTCAAAGGCAGAAATTTCTAAAAAATCTGAAGACTGAAGTTTCCAAGATTGTAAAGATTCCAATGGTTCCAGAGATTCCAGAAATTTCAAAAATTCCCTGATATTCCGGGACTCTCGAGATTCCAGAGAGTCTAAAGATTCTACAAATTTTGAAGTTTCTAAATTTTCTGAAGATTCTGAATATTTCCAAAAGTGAGGATTACAAAAATTTTTAAAACTTTTTGAAGATTGTAAAAAAATTAAACAATCCCAAGATTTCACAGATTCTAAAGGTTCCAGAGATTCCAGAAATTTCAAAAATTCCGGATATTCCGGGACTAACAGTTCCACAAATTCCAGTAATTCCGAATATCCCGAAACTCTGGAGATTCCAGAGAGTCTAAAGATTCTACAAATTTTGAAGTTTCTAAATTTTCTTAGATTCTAAAAATTTTAAAACTTTTTGAAGATTCTGAAGTTAATTTAACAGTCCCAAGATTTCACAGATTCTAAAGGTCCCAGAGATTTCAGAAATTCTAAAAATTCTGAAGATTCCAAAGATTCTGACAATTCTGAAAATTCTAGAGATTCAAAAGATTCTGAAAATTGTAAGTATTTTAAAGGCAGAAATTTCTAAAAAATCTGAAGACTTTGAAGATTCCAAGATTATAAAGATTCCAAAGGTTCCAGAGATTCCAGAAATTTCAAAAATTCCGGATATTCCGGGACTCTAACGATTCCAGAAATTCCAATAATTCCGAATATCCCGAGACTCTGGAGATTCCAGAGAGTCTAAAGATTCTACAAATTTTGAAGTTTCTAAATTTTCTGAAGATTCTGAATATTTCCAAAAGCGAGAATTACAAAAAATTTAAACACTTTTTGAAGATTGTTAAAAAAATTAAACAATCCCAAGATTTCATAGATTCTAAAGGTTCCAGGGATTCCAGAAATTTTAAAAATTCGAAACATTCTGAAGATTCCAAATATTTTGACAATTCTGAAAATTTTAAAGATCTAAAATATTCTGAAAATTGTGGGTATTTCAAAGGCTGAAAATTCTGAAAATCTGAAAACTTTAAAAATTCCATAGAATCTAAGAGTTATAAAGATTACAAAGATTCCAGAGATTTCAGGAATTTCAAAAATTTCGGATATTCCGGGTCTCTAACGATTCCAGAAATTCCAGTAATTTTGAATATTCCGCTAAAACTTCTGAAGAATCTCAGTATTTGCAAAACAGTCCTAAAATTTCACAGATTCTAAAGGTTCCAGAGATTCCAGAAATTCTAAAAATTCGAAACATTCCGAAGATTCCGAAAATTGTAGGTATTTCAAAGGCTGAAATTTCTAAAAAATCTGAAGACTTTGAAGATTCCATAGAATTTAAGGATTATAAAGATTACAAAGTTTCCAGAGATTCCAGGAATTTCAAAAATTCCGAATATTCCGGGACTGGGGATGCCACAGATTCTAAAAATTCTACAGATTCTGAAATTTCTAAATTTTTCGGAACATTCTGAATATTTCCAAAAGTGAGGAACCCAAAAAATTTGAAAAGTCTTTGTAGATTCTGAAGAAAATTAAACAGTCCCAAGGTTTCACAGATTCTAAAAGTTCCAAAGATTCCAGAAATTCTAAAAATTCCAAATATTCTGAAAATTGGAAAATTCTAAAAAAATTGAAAACTTTAAAGATTCCAAGGTTATAAAGATTTCAAAGGTTCCAGACATTCCAGAACTTTCAAAAATTTCGGATATTCCGGGACACTAAAGATCTCAGAAATTTCAATAATACCAAACATTCCGAGACTCTGGAGATTCCAGAGATTCTACAGATTCTAAAGTTTCTAAATTTTCTGAATATCCTGAATATTTCCAAAAATGAGGATTCGAAAAAATTTGAAAACTCTTTGAAGATTCTGAATAAAATTAAACAATCCCAAGATTTCATAGATTCTAAAGGTTCCAGAGATTCCAGAAATTCGCAAAAATTCGAAACATTCTGAAGATTCCAAAGATTCTGAAAATTGTGGGTATTGCAAAGGCTGAAAATTCTAAAAAATTTGAAAACTTTGAAGATTCCATAGAATCTAAAGATTATAAAGATTCAAAATGTTCCGGAGATTCCAGAAATTTCAAAAATTCCGGATATTCCGACACTAACGACTCCAGAAATTCCAGTAATTCCGAATATCACGAGACTCTGGAGATTTCACAGATTCTAAAGGTTCTAGAGATTCAAGAATTTCCAAAAATTCAAAATATTGTGAAGATTCCAAAGATTCTGACAATTCTGAAAATTTTAAAGATCTAAAAGATTCTGAAAGTGATGGGTATTTCAAAAGCTAAAAATTCCAAAATCTGAACACTTTGAAGATTTCGTAGAATCTAAGCATTATAAAGATTCCAATGGTTCCAGACATTCCAGAACTTTCAAAAATTCCGGATATTCCTGAAAGCTAAAGATCTCAGAAATTTCAATAATACCAAATATTCCGAGACTCTGGAGATTCCAAAGATTCTACAGATTCTAAAGTTTCTAAATTTTCTGAATATTCTGAATATTTCCAAAAGTGAAGAATCCAAAAAAATTTGAAAACTCTGAAGATTCTGAAAAAAAATTAAAGAATCTCAAGATTTCATAGATTCTGAAGGTTCCAGAGATTCCAGAAATTCCAAAAATTCGAAATATTCTGAAGATTCCAAAGATTCTGACAATTCTGAAAATTTGAAAGATCTAAAATTTTCTGAAAATTGTGGGTATCTCAAACGCTGAAAATTCTAAAAAATTTGAAAACATTGAAGATTCCATAGAATCCAAGGCTTATAAGGGTTCCAAATGTTCTGGAAATTCCAGAAGTTTCAAAAATTCCGGGTATTCCGAGACTAACGATTCCAGAAATTCCAGTAATTCCGAATATCACGAGACTCTGGAGATTCCAGAGATTCTAAAGATTCTATAGATTCTGAAGTTTCTAAATTTTCTGAAGGTTCTGAATATTTCCAAATGTGAAGAATCCGAAAGAATTTGAAAACTCTTTGAAGACTCTGAATAAAATTAAACAATCCCAAGATTTCATAGATTCTAAAGGTTCCAGAGATTCCAGAAATTCCAAAAATTCGAAACATTCTGAAGATTTCAAAGATTCTGACAATTCTGAAAATTTGAAAGATCTAAAAGATTCTGAAAATTGTGGGTATTTCAAAGGCTGAAAATTTTAAAAAATTTGAAAACATTGAAGATTCCATACAATCCAAGGATTATAAGGATTCCAAATGTTCCGGAAATTCCAGAAATTTCAAAAATTCCGGATATTCCGAGACTAACGATTCCAGAAATTCCAGTAATTCCGAATATCACGAGACTCTGGAGATTCCAGGGATTCTAAAGATTCTATAGATTCTGAAGTTTCTAAATTTTCTGAAGGTTCTGAATATTTCCAAATGTGAGGAATCCAAAAAAAAATTGAAAACTCTTTAAAGATTCTGAAGCAAATTAAACAATCCCAAGATTTCGTAGATTCTAAAGGTTCCAGAGATTCCAGAAATTCCAAAAATTCGAAACATTCTGAAGATTCCAAAGATTCTGACAATTCTGAAAATTTGAAAGATCTAAAAATCTTGAAAATTGTGGGTATTTCAAAGGCTGAAAATTCTAAAAAATCTGAAAACCTTGAAGATTCCATAGAATCTAAGGATTATAAAGATTCCAAAGGTTCCGGAGATTTCAAAAATTTCAAAAATTCCAGATATTCCGGGATTCTAAAGATTCTAAATTTTCTGAAGGTTCTGAATATTTTGAAGAGTGGAGATTCAAAAAAGCTGAAAACTGTGACAATTTTCAAGATTTTGAAGATTATAAAGATTCCTAAGACTTTAAAGTTTCCGGAGATTTCAGAAATTTCAAAAATTCCGGATATTCCGGGATTCTAAAGATTCTAAATTATCTGAAGGTTCTGAATATTTTGAAGAGTGAAGATTCCAAAAAATCTGAAAACTTCGTCAATTTCCGAGATTAGAAAGATTCCTAAGAATTTAAAAGTTCCAGAGATTCCAGAAATTTAAAAAATTCCGGTCACTCCTAGAATGTTTTGTATATGTATGTAGGTCTTTTTTTTTACTTACTTTAATTACAATTGTATTATGTATTTAGGTTCATTAAAAATTTGATACATTTCAAAATTTTGACATTGGTAATAAAATAGATATTAAAGTAACTTTTCAAAATATATATATTAGAAACGACTCAAGTTAAAAAAAAAACAGAAAGAATGAAACTTTTATAGTTTTTAACAAATAATGAAAGAATTTTCAAAAAGTCTTGAAAATTTTAAACCCTGTTCTTGGATTTATTACGACTATTTTACAATCTCTTTAAAATTATTAATCTTTTCAAAACCTATAAAATCTTTTTATTAATTCTTAAACTTAAACCTTTTATTTCGTTACTACACCAATTTCAGCCACATTTTATCACCCAACGATCTAAAATTTCGAACCGAGACATTATTACATAAACGGAATTATTCACCGTATCGCAATCGCCGGCTCCCAACCCATCCACACTTCTCAGTTTTCCTTTTTTGCAAGCTCTGCAGAATTCGGTCCGTTCAACCCACCGCTCAGCAAAAACTAAAATCGCGTCGTCGCCGCTGCTAAATCTTCATCTGGGTGAAAGCCGCAATTGAAGGCCAAGTCCCTCTTTGTCCCGATTTTACTAACACGCTCTCCCCTTCCAGGAACACCCTCGGCACCCACCATGGGCCTGTACAAGCAGTACTTCCAGATAGGGCAGTACGCCAGGAACCATCTCCTGGGCAAGAAAAAGAAAGGCAAAAGCGGCCCTCCCTTGCTCATTTTAAAAAACGGAAAGTTTACGAACAGTGAGTAGAAGATAATAAATATCTTAATTTTTGCTTGATGATATCGCTAATATTGTTTTATTGGCGCATAAAAATATTATTTATGGCTCATTTATTCGTCGTTGTGGGTGAAAGAGTGCTACTGTGGTATTTACGGTATGGGATTTTTATTACTGGTTAATTTAATTTATTGTGGGCGGGTGCTCTAGTCATCTATTGTGACTATAGATAATGATCGGTGAATATATTAAATTTAAATTAAGTAAATAAAAACCCGTATGCAGGGATTTCCAAAAACAAACAAAAAGTCTATTTAATATAATACTTACTAAAAAAAAAAAAACGATGACGGTTGTTTTGTCCATAAATCATGACACGTAATCTTAAATTATCATTAATGAGATGGATACTGCAAGCACGTGCAAGTTTTGCTCATTTTGTATTACTTTGTACACACTTTTTGGTAAAGTGGTAATTTTGCAGCAATAAAGTCTTGAAATTAAATTAAAAACTGCTACATTAATAATGGGAAATTTAAGTGTTGCTGAGCTAATTTATGTCTTTTTAAATGCATGAAATTAGCTTCAGATATGTTAATAACGTAATATTTTTTTTTCATTTTGTTAAAGATCGTGTAATTATGTATTTAACTAAGTGTGTCCTCATCCGGCATTGAAGTCTCCACCAAATAAGCGTCTCTCTTGGGTTATAAAGGTGTTTTTTTCACGAGTGGTGTGCTTGTGATTTGTTAGATTTTGGTGAAATTTCAATGCTAAAGTTATTGTGATTTGGATTTGGTTTGGTGCGAATGCGCAAGTTTGGCTTGAACGTGACCATGAACTTCAACGCGCGGAAAATTACTCCAAATATTAGTAAAAACATAGCCATAAATCAAGATAGAGTTACGTTCGTAACAATTAATTGGCCAATTAGTTTTCGCGAAACGTTAAAAAATGTCAGTTTTGTTGTCGTGTTACGGTTTTTTGGTAACTTTCCAGAAATTTTAAAGACCGAATTTTATTGCTGTTTTTTAGACCCGACAGGAAATGAGCAAGTTTTAAAAATAGTTGGGAAATCCAACCAATTCTGAAATTACTGTTAAACTAAGTTTCAAAAATTTGTCTAAATTAAAAAATCTGAAAGTTCAAAATTTTCGAAAATATTTTAATAGTTCGTTATGCGTTATGAGTTTTCTGGGGACTCGGTCATTCTGGAGATTTTGAAGATTCCGAATATTTGGAAGACTGAAGATTGCAAAAAATTTGAACACTGAAGATTCTGAAGGTTGTAAAGATTCCGAAATTTCCACCGATTTCAGGAACTTCAGAATTTCCGTGTATATTTCGAGGCTCTAGAGATTCCAGAAATTCCAAAAATTCCGGATATCCTGAGATTCTGAAAATTTCGAAAAGTGAAAATTCCAAAAAATTTTAAACTTTGAATATTCCGAACATTTTGAAGAATTCCAAAGGCTCCAGAGATTCCAAAAATTTTAAAAATTACGGATATTTCGACACTAGATATACCAAATATTCTGGATATTCTGGGACTCTAGAGATTCTAGACATTCTGAACATTTCGAAAAGTGAATATTCCAAAATTTTTTAAAACTTCTGAAGAATTTAAATAAAGATTCCAAAGGCTCCAGAGATTCCAGAAATTTCAAGAATTCAAGATATTTCGAGACTAGATATACCAAAAATTTCAAATATTCTAGATATTCTGGAATTCTAGAGATTCTAGACATTCTGAGCATTTCGAAAAGTAAAGATTCCAAAATTTTTTAAAACTTCTGAAGAATATAAATAAAAATTCCAAAGGTTCCAGAGATTCCAGATATTTTAAATATTCTGAAGATTCGAAAATTTTTGAAGAATTCTGAATATTTCGAAGACTGGAGATTCCAAAAAATTTGAAAACTTTGAATATTCCGAAGATTCTGAAGATTATAATTTTCAAGATTGATGGTTCCAGAGATTCCAGAAATTTCAAGAATTCGAAATATTTCGAGACTAGATACACCAAAAATTTCGCATATTCTAAATATTCTGGAATTCTAGAGATTCTAGACATTCTGAGCATTTCCAAAAGTTAAGATTCCAAATATTTTTAAAACTTTGAATATTCTGAACATTTTGAAAGATATAAAGATTCCAAAGATTCCAGAGATTCTAGAAATTGTAGAAATTCCAAAAATTTTATAACTTTGAATATTCCGAAGATTCTAAAGATTATAATTTTCAAGTGTCTAGGCTCAAGAGATTCCAAAAATTCCAGATATTTCCAGACTATACAATTACAAAGATTCTGGATATTTTGGCATTCTATAGATTTCAGACATTCTGAACATTTTGAAAAGTGAATATTCCAAAAAATTTTAACACTTTGTAAAGTTTATAAAGATTCGAAAGGTTCCAGAGATTCCAGAAATTTCACAAAATCCGAATATTCCGGAAGTCTAGAAATTCCAGGAATTCCCATAAGCCCGGATTTTTCGACATCCTAAAGATTCCAGAGATTTTAAAGATTCTACAGATTCTGAAAATTCTAAAGTTTCTGAAGATTCTGAATCTTTTGAAGAGAGAAGATTCCAAAAAAATTGAAGACTTTAAATATTCGAAAATTTTGAAGATTGTAAAGATCCCTAAGATTGCGAAGGTTCCAGAGTTTCCAAAAAAATCCGGATATTTCGAGACTAGATATATCAGAAATTCTAAAGATTCCGGATATTCTAGAATTCTAGAGATTCTAGAAAATATTTCGGAGAATAAATATTCCAAAAATTTTGAATGTTCCGAAGATTTTGAAGAATATAGATGATTCCAAAGATTTCAAAGTTTGCAAAGATTATAGAAATTTGAAAAATTCTAAATATTCTTAAGATTCTGAAGATTCTAAAGATTCTGACAATTTTAAAATTTTAAAAATTCCGGATATTTCAAGACTAGATATAGCAGAAATTCCGAAGATTCTGGACATTCTGCGATTCTATATATTCCAGAGATTCTGAACATTTTGAAGGGTGAAAATTCAAACATTTTAAAAAATTTAAAGATTCCGAATATTGTAAAAATTATAAAGATTCCAAAGGTTCCAGAAATTCCAGAAATTAAGAAAAATTATTACGGATTTCTACAAATTCCTGAAATTCCAATAATTCTACATTTTCCAAGACTCCAAAAGATTCTACAGATTCCGGAGATTTTAAGGTTTCTGAAAATTCCAAAAAAATGAAAATTTTTAAATATTCAAAGATTCTGAAGATTGTAAGGATACTTAAGATTGCAAAGGTTCCAGAGTTTCTAAAAATTCCGGATATTGCGAGGCTCTAGATATACCAGAAATTCCAAAGATTCCAAAGATTCTAGAGATTCCAGAGGATATTTCGGAAAATGAAAATTCCAAAGGTTTCAAATATTCCAAAGATTTCAGAAATTTTAAAAATTCGAAATATTCTAAGTATATCAAAGATTCTGACAATTCTGAAGATTTTAAATATCCCAAAGATTCTGACAATAGAGTATTTCTAAAATTGAAAATTTCAAAAAATGTGAAGACTGAAGATTCAGAAGATTATAAAGATTATAAAAATTCCTAAGTTTCAGAGATTCCAGAAATTTTAAAAATTCCGGACATTCCGTGATTGGAGATTTCAAAAATTCCGGTTATTCTGGAATCTAGAGATTCTGAAGATTCTAAAGATTTTGAAGGTCCTAAAGTTTCTAAAGATTCTGAATATTTCTAAGACTGAGTATTCCGAAGATTCTGAAGAACATAAAAGATTTGAGAGATTTCAGAGATTCTACAGGCTCCAGATATTCTAGGAATTTTAAAGATTCTGAAGATACTGAAATTTCTGAAGGTTCTGAAGGATCCAAAGATTCTGACAATTCTGAAGATTCTAAACATTTAAGATTCCAAATATTCCAGAAATTAAAAAAATTCTAGATATTTCGAGACTACAGATTCCAGAAATTCTGGATATTCTGAAGATTCCGAAAATTTTGAAGATTCCAAAGATTCTAACAATTCTGAGTACTTCGAAAGCTGAAAATTCCAACAAATCTAAAGACTTTGAAGATTTTGAAGATTACGAATACTTGAAATATTCTGAAGATTACAAGGATTTCAAAGGTTCTAGAAATTCCAGAGATTCGAAAAATTTCAAAATCCTGGATATTCCGACACTCTAGAGGTTCCGGAGAATCCGAAGCTTCTGGAGATTCTGAAGTTTCTTAATATCCTGAAGATTCTCAAGATTTCAAAGATTCTAAAGTTTCTGAAAATTCTGAATTCGAAGGCTGAAGATTCCAAAAAATCTGAAGACTGAAAGAAAATTCCAAACGTTCTGAAGATTATAAAGATTCCAAAAGTTCTAGAAATTCCAGATATTTCAAAAACTCCAGATGTTCCCAGATTATAGATCCCAGAGATTCTAAAGATTCGAAAGATTCAGAAGGTTCTGGAGATTCTGAAGATTCATAATATTCTGAAAAATTCCGAATAATCCGAGACTCTAGACGTAGATTCTAAAGATTCTGAGCAGTTTCAAGACCCGGAATATTTCAAAGACTGAAGATTCCAACAAAGCTAAAAACTGAAAGAAAATTTCAAACGTGAAGGAAATAAAGATTTCCGAAACTATAAATTCCATAGATTCTAAAGTTTCTGAAGATTCTGAAGCTTCCGAGTACTTCGAAGGCTGAAGATTCCAGAAAATCTGAAGATTGAAAGAAAATTCCAAACGTTCTGAAGATTATAAAGATTTCAAAAGTTCTAGAAATTCCAGCAATTTCAAAAATTCCGGGTATTACTAGACTATAGATTCCAGAGATTCTAAAGATTCTGGATGTTCTGAAAAATCTGAAGATTATAAAGATCTCAAAAGTTCCAGAGACATTCGGAGACTTTCGGGATTCTAGAAATTCTGGGATTAGAAAGATTTTAACGATTCTAAAAATTCTAAAAAGTCGAAAGGTTCTAAAGTTTCAGAGTAGTTCGAACACTGTACATCCCAAAAA